AGTATTTTTTTTTAAATTAGTAGTATTTTTTAAAATATCTTGAATATGACGGATTTATGTCGATCGATCTTATTTTTGGATAGGTATTGAGAACGCAATGTTTCTGAATCGGTGCAAAAAACCGCTTCGGTTTTCTTAACCAATGACTTTCCCATGAGCGATGGATGAAGAGCAGGATGTACCAAGACTAATCAATTCTATACGCTACTCTTTTTTTCTTTTTATTTTATTATTCCTTTTAATCTTATAAGAGAGCAAATGATTAAAAAACCTTTATTTTCGCATTTTTATACCCTCTTTTAGTAATTTCCGACAATATACCGTAGATTATTGTACATACTTGTCTATGAAATATAAAAAAACCAATACACATCTGCCTCTAGTATTTATATTCTGTACATTAGTAAAAATTAATTGTTAAGCGTGTATCTATAAATATTTTCTAATTAGTCATCAGCAGAATTTTCCTTCATATACATATGTGATTAATAAAAAAAATATTTAACAAAGTATATTTTATAACATTTTTTTAACTTTTATAACATTTAATATTCAGTATTGTGATTCAGTATTTTATAAATATTTGTTTATATTTATAACACTTATTGCCAATGAAATTTTGTTCGTCTCTATTTACTATAAAAGAGGAAAATAATGAATCAAAGTTCTATAAAATTAACAAAGATAAGAAAATCTTTAATGGTATATCTTTTAATATTCCAATGACGATATCAATGATACAGTAATGTGGAATTTAATACTCCATTTCAAATTCTTTTTAACGTCTTATTAGAATTTTATTTAGCTTCTTTTTACTTAAAATATCTTATATTTTTAGTAGAATAAATATATTTTCAGAAAAACCTATTTTGTATTGTAATTAGCTAATTGAATTTCATTAATTATCATTTAAAATATACTACTTTGAACGATAATTTTATATATTATTATAAAGTTATAAAAAATTATAAAATTTTTTTATAAATAATTATTATTAGACAAAGTTTTATTTGAATATTTGGATCCTAGAAACTTAGAATGAATGAGTAAGAAATATAGAACATATGAAAAAGCATTAATAATCAGTTATTTTATATATAAATATTACGATTGAATTAAAATTATATAAACAGTAATTACGAATATATATATATATATATATATATATATATATATATATATATATATATGTATATATATATATATATAATATTATTAAGTGTTTATTCTTTAATGTCTAAATATCAATAGTTTCTAATATTAGAAAGCTAGCGAGAATATTTGTTTTGAATTAAAACATTAAGAAAAAAGTAGATAGTGATATAAATTTTTAAATAATCTCACATTTTTAATAAGATTATCGATGCGTAAAAAAGAAAAAATTTACAAAGAATGAAATCATTGATAATATTATTCGATATAAAATAAAATACAATTTGGTTCCCATGATATTCCCATAGTAATTCTTAGTAATTTTTTAGAATTAATAAACATATCGTGGAAGTTATTTAGTAACTGGAAAGCGTTGAAATACACGCATTTATTTACTGTCCATTGGTTGCTGCAATTTTGTAGAGGGATGAAATTCCCACTGACAGACGTAAATTCCTTTCGCGAGCGCCAGTTTATGAACCGAGAAGTTGCATAATGTATCAAAGATTTTTGCGTGAGATCTTGGAGGACAATATACAAGCCTAAGCTGTTTCGCGCTTGAGTAGTTCTTGTTCATAGTTACCGTAGGTAGAAATACGCATTGTCACGCGTTGTTGAGTTTTGCAAGTTTACATCATACGGGTGTTATAAACAAGAAAAGCTCTAACAAATTCATACACTTGTTTCACCTAATCTTTATCTCCAGAATATTATTTGAGGTTTCACGATTTCTTTTCTTACTAGTTTTCTTAACACACAAGTGATTGGGGTAAGTTAATACTACTGTAGTTGTAAAAATATTATAGTTGTAAAAAGTAATATGTTTATATTTTTGAGAACTATTTTTATGTAATATTTTTAATTAATTTTTATTTTATTAACAAAATATATGTAGGAAATAAAATAACAATATTTAATAAAAATATAGAAGTGTACAAAATTTGATAATTTGATAATAAATAACTACATTGGTTTGAACCAAAGCTTGAATTAAAAAATATTTCTTACAAATAAATTAATGAAATACGTAATAATAAATGTACATAAATAGAAAAACACATAAAACGAATGATTAATGAAAGGTGATTACTAGAAATATAAAATAAATAAAGTAGAAAAGAATTGAAGAATGATAAAAAAATAGCGGAACCATTAAAAGTATATTAATAATTAGACCCTTCCAAAAATAATAGAAAAAAATTTTTATACAAAAATCACGATTCAAAAATAGCAATCTAAAGTAATATAATTATAAAATGAAAATGAGAAAAAGAGAAAAATAAACAATATATCATATTATTCACATAAAATAAAAATTGTCGTTGAATAACACAGATGAGGATAATTAGGAATGACGTAAAACGAAGTATAAAAGTTAATAAATAATATTTGATGAAAAACTGATAAATATCGAAGGAAAAGTTTAGAGAATGTTAATTTAAATTCAAAAAGTAGTATATATAGTAAGTAAAATATCTGAATATTTTGATTTTAAATAAAGTATTTGATTAAATGAAAATAACTATTTGAAAAAGTACAAATTTAATTTAAAATACAATAATACACAAAAGTACTGTAGTAGAAACTTATGAGAATCAAATAATATAAAATAAAAATTTGATCTAAGAGGTTGTTAGATTTTACAAAATAAAAGTTAAAGATATCTCATAATTAAAAAATTGTTCAATACAGGCTTAACGGATGTAATAAAAAGAATTCTAAAAAACATATAAAAATGGATTTTTAATGCCAATGACAAAGATACAGTCATTGATGTATACCAATTATGTATATTATTTAAGGATTGGAGAGGATAAATAAAAAATACTTGAAGCATATTTAAACAAACGATACATAATATTTGAAAATATAAATATAATATAGAAAAATAAAAATAACCTTTAAGATACAATAAACAAATTAAAATAAAAAATTATAAATAAAATATAATAAATAAAAAATTAAAAATAAAATAAACAAAGTATTTCTAATATGTTATGTAAACAACGATAAAGTAGATAAATATAGGAAATAAAAAAGAAAAAAAAAGCAATTGAAAGTACAATTTTGTAATTTAATAATTTAATAAAAGTTGTCTTAATAAGTTTTATTAATATTTTACAGTATTTTACTAGCATTAATGTAAACTGAAAAATCTTATAAATTTTTAATTGTAAAATATTTGCCGTAATCAAAATTATGTACAAAAATTTGTTTTAAAAATATTTACATTTATTTTTATCAAAACAATTTAAAATAATGTGTAAATAAATTTTTACTGAGATTTATTTTAGTTTTTCAAAATGTATTATAATTATATATTAATTAGGTTTTAGAAATAACAAACTTAGCTACATAAAATATTTGAAAATATTTTAAATATAAATAATAATTTTTAATTAATTTTTTCATATAATTAAAGTATTTATGTTTTAATCGATGCAACAAAGATGTAAATTTATTTTAAAAAGACATTTCAAACGATTCTAATATTAATATTTTAATATATATCTATGTTTACAATGAAATATCTACAATGAAAAATACTTTATTCTGTTTTTAAAAGAAAAATTACATCAATTTACTTTTACAAATAAGAATACTGGAATTCAATTAAATTATTACATATTTTCAAATGCAAAATAATCCAATTATAGGAAAATTATGAATAAATGATTCCTTATTTCGATAAAAGTATAGCCAATCAAATAGACCTAAAATATTGAAATTGAAAATATGAATATAATAACATATTAAAGAATCTGTACTTCTTTATCCACTAAAAGTTTTTTTTATTATTCTTTATTTATGTAAACTAATTTCTTACATCAATTAAATCTCTTTTGTTTCTATTGTATATATTTTTATTGTGACAATAAATATAACAAAATATGAAACAGTCAAATATAACAAGTCTATAATATATAATATAGAATATATATTTAAATGAGTTTACAATAAAGATTAGCATAAGTTAGGAGAAATTTTGCATAAAATAGCAAGAAAATGAGGTAAGCAGTAGCAGAAGGTCTGACAGACTTAAGGGAATAGTTACTAAATTACTCAGCGTTCAACTCTCACAAACACTGTTTTCATAGTTTTAAACAATAACGCATAAAAATATCTCGCTCATTCCCAGGATACATATAATTCCTTTGTAATAGTTGGCTCTCTCTCTCTTTCGCGCGTGCACGCACACACACATACACACGCGCGCGCGCGAACATACACACACACACACATATATGAACTCTCTTACATATTTTCTTTCGCTTGTATAATACACATCACTAATACAGTACCATGTTCATCATTTTGTTATCTTTTATATAATAAACCCTTTTCAACGGTTACATCGACCTACATTAGTACAAATGTAAGCGTTTCCTATTCTTAATTGTCGAATATTTTTAACACACTGATTATGTTAAAATTGAGTACTAGATTATACGATATTGTAGTTGCGGATAGATGTGCACTAACAATATATAACTATATTCTCAAAAAGACCTTGCGATTACATTTAGATATTTTAGGAAGCATATAATTCAAGTAAAAAATAATGCTACAAGATTTTGCTAACAAATTCTTTGGCTCATGCTGATAATAAGCAAAAAAGCTGCACCACTGGAATCCTATTCGGCGGAAGAGAATGAAGAAATGAAGTACTTCGGAGCGGCGAGCGAGCCGTCGAAAAAAGTGCAGCACAGCGAATCGCTCGCGGACCACCTTAGCGTGGGCGACTCTCTTTTCCGACCTATTCTTTCTCTTCGGTTTTTTGTGCGTCACCAAGCCTAGTTGTCCGAAGATCAAATGAACTGAACATTTTTTCCTTCTGACAGTTGCAGGTGCCGAAGGTATAAAATACTGCAGGTGTAAGTACGCAAAAGACAACTGACTGCAGGGCTATGATCAGCATGGAGCTTCCGGCACACTCAGGGCAGCATGGCAGCGTCGGCGGCCTTCACATGGGTATTGGCGTTTCCGTTAGCTCTAGTGATTCTGTCGCACTAACACCCTTGCACCCACATGGGCAGGATGGTCTCGTTCATCTTCATCATCACAATCATAACGCTACAACACCTGGAGGTATGCACGAGGAATCCAAGAAAAACCGTACGTTTCTTCATTAAAGCGAAATTTCATTTATTTGCCTTTGAACGAAATATTTTCTTTCATCCCTTCTAAATTTGTTTAAAATTTTCTGACTGTACGTATTAATAAATACTTATTAATAGTAGGATTAATAAAATAATAATATATAACTTAATATAACCCTTAAAATATAAAATTTGATTTATTAAATTTAAAATTCGATCATGTATATATTAAAGTATCCTTATAAGTTTATAATACTAACTACTAAAAATAATATTAATTATTAGAAATATAATAAAGTTATTTTACATGAAATAATACTGCTTCATAAATTACTGAATTGAATATTTAATATAAAAAAATTTAATATTAAATATTAACGTTCAGTAAATACATAATTGATTTCATATACAAAAGAAACTTTACAATATATTAGAAAAAAATCATATCAATAAATATTTAAATTATTTCTATTCTGATATTAACAAATTTTTGTTTAAGTTAAATTTTTATGTAAATTTAACAAGATGTATGTTTACATGGAAATAAAAGTCAAATAAATTAATACAGTTTTTTAAAAATATTATAATGTACTTATTTTTGTAGATTTGTGTAATATTATTAAAATTTTTTATTTCGTTCTCTATCGCTTGTTTTTTTAGTATTCAAAATAACGGAAAATTAATTGAAGTCATCAAAAAATATAAATAAATCAAAAATTATTTAATGAAGAAAAGATTTTATAACAATAGTTCCTTTTATTTCATAAGTAAATTAAAAGTTGTTTATATAGATATATATTTTTAACTATTTTTATACATATTAAACTACAATTTTATTAAAAGAAATATGTAATAGTTGAATGCAATTATTGGTATTTCATGTCTTTAATTTTATTCGTCAACAACGAATAAAATCAATATAATATCCATAATTAAAAATGATATCTTTAATAGATAAGGAGACTTCATTTTTTATATAATTTATTTCATCCGTATATGTTAAAAAACAGATTTCAAGTTATAATTGTGAGTTAATATCACTTCGATTAACAAATTATTTATAAAGCATGAATATATTTAATTTAATTGGAATTAGCAATCAATCGATAAATATGAATATGTATAGAATATATCTATTTATATAATACAAAACACCTATATATACATAGATATATATAAGTAAATATATGTAGATATTCACAGTCTGTTTGCTAATTCTAATTGGCGTGTATATTTTTTGCTATGTATTCTTCAAAAACTGAAATTTTGTCATCTATTATATGTATAAACATTAAAACATCATTCTGCGTTACAAAATTACACTATACAGATGGATATACTATATCTATAAGGATATATATTTTTAAAAAATGAAGATATACAAAAGTAACGTACCATTGTCATATTTAGTTTTGCAATAGAATACTGAAGATCTATAAAATAATTGAATTCATTACATTTTTATAAGTTATATGTAAATATCAACAGGTTTATGAAAAATATATGCATTTATATGAAATTGAAGTGCAATGTATTTTACGAATACAAACTTTTAGATTCCAACTAATATCTTTAATACAGTTCTAGCTTTCTCTATAAACCGTGCATACTTTCAAACAAATAGGAAAGTTAGATAGTCTAGTTCATTAATAATACATATAATTAAATATCAAATTAAATTTGAGATGTGTTTTTCTTTTAAAAAAAGTTTAAATAAGTAAAACTTTTTTAATATCAATTTATATTTGCAAGAATACAATATAAATACGATAATATTTTATATAATTCTAATAACTAATATATGCATCAAAATAATAGAAAATAGACATTTTATCATATTTCTAGGTTATTAAAAATTAGTTCGATTAAAATTTGATTTTAAATCAGATATTTAAATAAATTATAACATACTTGACGGCCTTCTCGAACTAACTTTTACAAGTTGAGTGAGAGTTGACTACTCAGTTGTGCTATAAACAACACATCTACAGAGATAACAGTAAATCGATATAAAAGTAAAATAAGCACTATAAATTCTCAGATACATTAAGAATTTTTTGTTGATATTATAAATCTAGATATAATACATATAAATTACATATATATAGTCGATAAAAATTAATAGATATAAATCAGTACTGCTAAATCAGAAAGACGAGTAAAATTGAAGAAGATGAGCTTATTAAAAGAGACGTGCCCTTGAATTACCTTCGCATAACTACAAGGAAAACTAAAATTTACAATAAATCTTTGTGGCTTTTATATATCGACTACACGAATTCCATATATTAATTAAAATCTAAATGATATAATACATAAAATATGCGTATATACTAAAATACACTTGCATATACATTACGGAGCTAATAAACTTTGATTTCTAATGCTATATAATTTTACTGTGTACAACGTCATTTGACTATGCATAGGATTTCATTCTTCCTTATGATCTGATATGCACTTCCTCGTTCTTTATGAGTAGTCACGAAACAATTAACAAGTGTGTCAATATTAATTTTTCTGTACATATTGAAACATATATATTGTATAAATTTAACTATGATATTTAACAATTATTTATTTAAAATTATAATTTATGATAATAAAAATTAATAAAACCATTAATATAAATTTATAATAAATTTAAATTACTGTAACTTGAATGTTCTATTTTAAGAAATTAAAGAAATACTACTACAGAGAAACTATAATATTTAGTTTTGTATCATTACGATACATTTATACATTTTTTTATTTAATTATATTTAAAAATATAAATTTGTATTTATTCTAGATAATTTTTTTATAAATTTAAATTTTTTGTTTCATTCATTATAAACTTTCAATGTTTCTTATTTTTGTTCAGGTACCAACTGACTTATTCGTTATATTATAGTTTTATTGATTGTATAAGTATGTAAACTATACATTAAAATATCAGATATGTCTTGAAATATATATATATATATATATATTTTTTTTTTTTTTGATAACCGAGTACAGAATTTATATTTAGGATTTATAGATTAATAATATTATTAATGGTATAAATTAAATATGGTAATGACTAAAATTAATAATTGTGATATTTTACACAGAGTAATTACTTTTATAATTTATATTGCAACAAAATAATTTGATATCAAATTTATATATTATTATATAGTGATATAAAAAAACTTTTTCTATCCCGCTCTCTCTATTTTTATTTCTATAACTGTAAATAATGAAATAAATAATAATGAAAACAAAAATATAAAATTTGATTTGGTTCTTCCATAAATATTACAATTATTTATTTTTAAGTAAAAAAAGTACGATCACTATTAGAATATTAATATCAGTTAAACCACCTGTTTTGTTGAATATCAAGTATATAAAATATAAAGGTTAATTATAAGTAACCTGTAATTTAAAAATAATATTAAAATGATAAGTATATTAAGAAAAGTTGAATAATCTTTATTCTGTATTCTTTTTACAAACACTACCATTTAGAAAAATATGTTAAATTTGATAAAAGTCTTGTCATAAAATAATAATGAAAAAAAGTAATAAAAAAAAATAATAATTTTTAAACAAATTTCTATTATCTGTATGAAGTAAAAATAAAAAATTATTTAATAAAAAATCCATTGTAGGCAGAAAATAAATACAATAATAAATACAATAATAGATTAATAAAGTATAAAATAAGAAATCAAACTTTTATCTTAACATATTCTTAGACATATATATAAATTGCATTATAAATAATATAATATTATGTTGGTATTTAAATATAATAAATTCTTTCTATTTCGTTTACAGATGACGGAAGTCACGGAATAAATCAAGATGGTAAGTAAACACTATTCCAAGTATATATTTAAAATTTATTGTAGACCGATTTTTAAAAAATTTATCATTTACCATTTTTATACAATTACATGGATTTACTTAATTAATATTATTTCATATTTACTTAAAAAAATTATTGATAAAATAATCATCCCAAAATATAGTATAAAAATAATGAATTATCTTAGAATAATTAATACAAATTGTTGTGTATATAAAATAATGAGATAATATCATTTATATAATATATAATACAATGTAATATATAATAATATATTACATCAAATTTTAGAAATACAAAAATAAACGATTGTATTTTTAATTCTATTAGTATCATTATTGTATATAATTAGCAGTTATTTCGATTTAAAAAAGTAAATATCTAAAATAAATGTCAAAGAAATTAACTATGCATTTTTTAATAAATTAATTAATTAATCAATATCTGTTTATTGATTTAATTACTAATTAACTACTGATAATTTATACTTTAAAAATATAATGTTATTAATATATTTTACTAGATATATATACTACTAGAATCGAAATTGTTATTTTAAATAAAATAAAATAATTATTTCCTTTGAAATTTAGATTTTTAACAAATTGATTCCGTCTTTATTCAAACAATTTGTATAAATATTTGTATAGTGCTATATTATTTATTTCGTGGTATTTTGTATTATATTATATAATATTAAAGATAGATTTTATATAATTGTTAAATAACTAAAACTCAATTAAAAAATTGTAATATGAAATGCCTTAACTAATATTAAGTAATATTAGTTCGATTTATCAAAAACAATGATATTTTTTTTAATAATAATATAAAAACATTTAATATATAGTTAATATTAATAATTAGTAATCGCCATAAAATTTTTGACTAATTTTCCTGATTTGACGATAAAATAAAGATTATTATTATACTATGGCAAAAAGATCATTAAGGAAATTATTTTAAAACTATCTGCTTGAGTTTAAAATTTATTCACTTTTCACTGTTGTATTATATAATTTTCATAATGTGGAAACTTGTAAAATAATTGATTAAGTAGAAGATGTGAAAAATCTCTGTACCTTTGATTGTTTTGTTTTTGAAATTAAATTGAATGAATTTATAGTTTTTTCAATAAAAAACGATATTATCAACAAGAATATCTTTAAAAAATTATTCATAACTATTACTTGAAAAATAAATGCTATCTGGTTTCTATCAACCAATGGTCTTAATAAAATTACCAAGCATCATAGACATCTAGAAATTTTTCATGAAGATTGAGTTATTAATTAAAATAAGAATAATTTTTTGAGGAATTTGTAAACAATATATTATATGAATAGTGGTATTATAATTAAATATATTAAATATCATCACATTTATTATAATTACAGTATTATAAATATTATTAACATTATTTGCTATAAATTCTATATTATATTTTATTTTTAATTATATACAATTTTTAAATTCAAATTTATTACATGTTTTCTCAAAAAGTGATTCAGTTACATATCATCATCTAAAATAAAAGATTTTAAAATAAATCAATTTAGCAATCTAAAAAAATTACAAAAATCATAAATTGATCCAATAATTATTAGATTATTTGAAATAACAATGCATTTAGAAACTTTCAGCCTACCGGTCAAAAAATGTAAAATTATGTAAATAAATACAATTTATTGATAAATAGTTAATTACTAAATTTCTTTAATATGTTACCGAACTTTCAAATGGTAATTATAAATTTTAATTTATTATTAAGTATTAATAATGTTATTCATAACCAAACAATCATTTTATAACCTTGTTTCAAACGATATTAAAATTAATTTGTCAGCAGTAGAGAATTTAACTAATATTAATATTATATATAATAAAGTAAAAAATGAATATTGAAATCTACTAATAAAATAATTAAGGATAAAATTTGTATTTTGGTGAAAAATAATAAGAAATATTTAATTAGTATATAAAACCAACAAATCCATTAAGTGGCAAACCACAACCAATAATTTTAGTTACATTTAATTTCTTCTTTTGTAATTACAATAGGTATTCAACTTTTAAATTACTGTATACAGATAAATGAATTAAAAGTTAAACAAATTGAATAAAAGAGTCATGATCCCTATTTGTCTTTTCTTGAAAAGATAAAGCGATTGAAAATATTTCTACAGAAAGATATCTATTTCATTGTCGTGTGACAAATTAAGAGTAGAAAAATGATTATATCCATTTTTACTTTTAAAAATTAAAATACTTGTTATTAAGACTTTAAACATATTTCTTTTAAATCTAAATTTTTATCGAAATTCATCGCTTATAAATATCATAAGATTCCGCATGATTTAAACATAATTACAGAAAAAACCTCGTATACATATATATAATTATATAATATATAATAACATAATATATAATTATCACATAAAATAATAATTTATATTTTTTATATGTAATTAAAATATATAATTGGTATTTAATGTAGCTAAATATTTAGCTGATTAATAAAAATAGCAATAGTTATCGTTTAAAATATATTTCAAATGAATTTATTAAATAAATAAAATACTAATTTTTTATATGTTATGTATTAATTTTATAAACATCTAAAATAACGTATACTTAAAGTCACAATTTTAAATAAAAAAATTGCAGTTAAATACATAGAAAAAAACACAATGATTATTGATTACAAAAAAATTAAAGCATAGTTATTATATATAAGCATAGTTAGTATTTTTTGCTTTTAATCATATAAACGAAATATAAACACCTCCAAGATACTTTAATATACCAGAAAATCCATAATTATTTTAGCGACTAATAATAGCATATAAAAATTATTACCAAAGACATAAATTCATGAAAAATAGCAACATATTTGTTACTTATAAATTTACAGATACTTTCGAAAAATTCACAAAGTTATTTTAAATAGATTTAAAATATCACATTATTATTAATAGATATTAAGAAATAATGAACTTATGTTTTTATCAATTTATAAAAAATAAGTAAAAATCATTCATATAAACCCTTATGACCTTTTTCACTGCCTTTTTCTTACTTCAAATTACCGTAATCTATGCTAAAGGTAATACGTATTATTAATTAGTTATTATACTATGTTATTAATAATATAATAATAATATGTAATAATATTTTTAACACGCATATACAAATGAAATTCTCACCTACATAAATATATAAATCTTTTCGATTATAATCAACAAATACTAATCCAAAATAATAAGCAAAATCAATTTAAGCGTGATGATGTTAGATTAGAGAACCGGAGACTTTGCAAATGCATGAAAATCAACTGTTATAACTTTAAATGCCTTGATATGACTCAATTATTTATACGCCAACAGCACTGTTATCTTATTATAAAATAACTACTGATCAAAAATAAATAATGCATTCGTTGCATACTCGATATAATTACTTTTTATCAACTTCTTTAATAAATAAGTGAATTTTCATGTTACTATTATTTAATATTTATGTGCCAAAATAGAAAAAAAATGGTAATAATTTATTTTTATAAAATAATCAAATTAATTTAATAATTTTCTATATAAGATTTTTTTCTAATTTATATTATTAAAATCTTTTGAAACAAAGCATATTCTCTATCGATATGATATTTTGGTGTTTTTTGCATACTTACTTTCTGCACATACATAGAATGTAACGGACTCAATAGAATTTTTTTAGTATAATGATAAAGTTAACTTCCCTATTGATTAATATTCTTCGATTAATTTAACAGTATTTACTTTATTGAAAATATCAGTTTTTATGAATACAGTTTCTGTTTATGTTTTTAAAATAATCGTTATCTAATACATTCTAATTAGCCATAAATAATTTTATTAGCATTAGAATTACCTAAGTCTTGCAGACAATACTAAATAACATGAAATTTAATAATTATTCTAAAGAGATTTATTAAATATCCGAATAATAGGTCAGTTAATAGCTTACCTTAACAAATTACAAAAAGAAACATAAATAAAAAAAGAACGTCGATATGAAATTAATGGTATAAAATTATTTAAATTTTTGTTGATATAATTATAAAATAAATAAATAATTGATAAATAAATTATATAATATTTATATTATAATTCTATTAACAGAACTTTACTACTACTAAATGGTACTAATATATACATATAGTAATATACATTGAGTTTTAATATTCATGCATTTTTCAATTTTCTAATAATTATGAAGGAGTAGGCAAGAATACGGTTTATAAAAAAAAGATTTTGTGAACGAATATAGATTTTCAAAAACATACATTTGTAGTGAAAAATTATATTATAGAATTTGACCACTTTGTGAATTTACAGAAACACTTTAGCTGCAGATAATTGTAATTCATAATCGTTAATTCAATATAAAAGTAAATGATATACTAAAACATATTAATGGAGTATTAAATTAACAACTTTATATTTATAATACACATACTTATTATAATCATTTCCAAATCAGATATAATTTTTTAATATGTATGCTTTTTTAATATACAATTTATTTTCCCTGTTTCTTTCCTACCTTCATGGATGGTACCAATGTCACAAATGCTTACTCGTACTTAAATTGTAAAAGTTCAAATCAAATATATAGATGATCGTTAATTATTTTTAATGAAATTTAATACAATCAATTTAAATAAAGTAAAATAAAAACTTAATAAATATAGTATGGCTATAAGTTAAATAAATGTTTGGAGTTCTTCAACAAATACTCATAAAAAAGTATTTTAAAAAATCATAAAATCCAAGACAGTGAGTAAAATAAATTCGGTAATTAGAGCACGTCATACGATTTGGAACTATTCTTCTTTATTTTAATTTGAAAAAATAAGCAAACTTGCATACAATATACACTTAGAAAGCATATCCTATTATCTTCTATTGTAGAGAAGAAATAATAGGTACATTTTATAAAAAAAAGTCTATCTCTTTCAATA